TTGGAACGGTCGTGATGTCTGCTTCTGGCGAACAGAAGGATAAAGGCATCGGTATTCGTGAAGTACTCGTGGTGTAATGATGCGTGGTGTCTTTAGGGTTTGTGCAGTAACCAAGTCGTGGAGCTGTGTCCTAAGGTTTTTTTTGAATTTTTTGGGTTGTCCTGCTTACTGAGTACTGTCCAGATGGTGTGAAAGCTTTGTATATTAAAACAACCACAAACCAAACACCAGGAAAACAGTGTAACTCCAAATCTAATCAGAGTGGATACACCAAAGGAGACTGAATTCCTCTTGTATCTCCCTATCCAGGTACCAAAACGCCTGTGCCACCCGGGATGCGGTTGTTTCAGTATGTGGCAGGTCAGGAGGCCGGTGTTGGCGATCAGGACTTGGTTAAGTGCAGCCTGGCTGGCTGTGTTGGCTCTTGCAGCCCTTGGGAAGCGTGGTGTGACCGATGTGCTTGCTGGAGCGCGTACGTCAGGAGGGATCCTCCGTGGCAGTGGCACGCCGTCTGTAGTCACTTAATGGGCTTTCGCAGTGCAGGTAGTCTTTCCTTCCAAATGCATCGTCTTCTCCTTGCCAGGAGAGCTCTATAAATCCTCAGCATAAGTTGTGCAGATACACAGCTGAGCTCTGAACTGACAAATAACTTTTTGGGGCTCAGTGGGCAGCGGTAAGCCCCGAGGCAGAGAAGAGAAGCTGCCAAAAGGAGGAGGGGACCGGGGAAATCCTTAGGCTGGCATTGCTGGAGAGCACCACACCAGTGTCTCGGCCTAGCCTCCTCCTACATAATACAATCTACAAATGAATAATAAATTTTAAATTACTGAAGCATATGAAAAATTTTATTATACATCCCAATCTCTAATGTGCTGATATGAAGGCATCTTCTGCTCACTGTGAGTCAACATGCCTGAAAAACAGTAGATAATTAGCTTCATATGCAAGGGTGGTGCCTTATAAATATCCGAGTTATTTGCAGTGTGCTGTGTGTGCACGCAGATCTTGAGTCTTGCGAGAAGACGCAGTCCCTGCCCAAGGACTGTTAAGAAAAACAGTGAACCTGAGGAAGACAAGCCAGCTAGTCCTTGAGTTTTTGCCCCCAAAATGAGAGGTTTAAGACCTGAATGTCACAGCTCCTCTAGCTAATTTTTTTTTTTAACCGGTCCCTGTGGGGAACTTACTCCTTATCTTAAATAAAAGCTTCAGATGCAAATAAAGAGTAATTACTGAAGTGAAGCGTGCTTGGAGCTGTTTGCAGCTTGGTTTTCAGCTGACTTGACACCTGATTATTCCTATTCTTTAAACAGGCGATGCGTGCCTTGCTCCAGCCCTGTCAGGCGCTAACAGTTTTTCCAGGATCACTTCCTTGGATTAACTAGGCAAGACAGTGGATTTTGTGCCCCGGGTGTGGGATCATTGTTAGGGTTTCCAAGTTTGTACTGTTCCAGAAGTTTTGGGCCGAACTGGCCGAACTGGCAAGGGTGGACTGGGAGGAGGGGCCAGCTCACGTGTTAGGCGAGAGCCGATGTCGGTTGGATCAGCGCTGGAGGAGCGACGTAGAGGAATGGGTCTGGCTTTTCAGACCCATTTGCTGGCTTTTCAGGGAGGAAGCGAGTCCACCTCTGACTACCAAGGTGTCAGTCCTGGGGCCAGTTTCATTTAACATATTCAGCGATGGCCTAGAGAAGATAGATACTGAGATGTCAAAGCTTGCGAGTGATACTTGGGTTTTTCAGGTGACCAGAAAGTGATGCTGAAGAGCTCTGGAAAGACCTTGCCAATCTGGATTGGTGGCAAAAAAGGTAGCGGTGCGGTTCTCACCATAGGTAAAGTAACGTGTAGGGGAAAGATAAGCTCTGCACGACGTGGAACTTGGAATAGGCAGTTGCAACTACAAAATGAGAGATCTTGGAGTGGCAGTTTCCAGTCCTTGGAAAGCATTTGTTCAGTGTGCATCAGCAGCCAGAAAACCTGGCAAAGAGCCGGGCACCGTCGGGGAGGGCGTCAAGGGTGATGCGAAGGGTCCCTTTGGCGCTGTGTAAAGCTCTTGGGCACCCGCATTTCGAGTCGCCTGTGCAGTCCTGGTCCGTGAGGGGTGCGAGGGAGGAGAGCTGTCCTCTGCTCGCTCTTCCCAGCTGCAGCAGCTGCCGTGCCAGGAGAGACCGTGGAGGCTGGGGCCTGAGGGATACGGGGCTGCGGCTCGGGGAATTGCAGGTGATGTGGCGGTAGCGCGGATACTGCTCGTGCCTTGCAGTACTGGAGAGAGAAGGCACTTGATGGAACCAGCAGATGAAAAGTAAAGCAGGTTGGGTCTGTTCAGCTGTTGGATGGTGGACTACAGCACCTGGCTGTCACAGGAGGCTGTGGGCAGGCAATATCAGCGGGTTCCGACAGGGACTAGGCTAATTCGTGGACAGCAAGTGTGTGAATGGAAGCAGAACAGGGCTAATGAGGGATGCACGCTCTCACACTCCTAATGAGGGCGAGTGGTGGGGAGGTAGGAGGGGAACAGGCATGGGAAGGTGGTGGAACTCCTGGGCTCCCGCAGAGAGCCTCTTCTCCAAAGCTTCGTGCTCTCTGCTGCGAGAAAAGAAACGTGGGAAAACTCTGTGATCCTGGGGGAGTAGAGGGAAGGAGGGTTTGGAGAAGGGGGTCCCATGTCTGTGCCTGAAGCCCGTGTGGTGGCTGTTCAAAGTGGTTGGCTTGTTGGACGCGGCAGGGGTGACGGAAGGTTTGGCTGGATGGCCAGGGTCCCCACCACAGAGCCTCCCCCTCCAGGCCACCTGCCAGCAGGTGGGTGACAACTTTCTGCTTGATGTCCTGCTAAATTCTATCTTTTTTTTTTTAATGGCATTTCCTTGTGCTCTGGTAGAGGAGGTGGCTGGTGAAGCCAGCACTGTTCCTCCGGATCAAAAACCAGCTCGTGTCAAATTCTGTGAGCCACTGTAAGAAGGGGATGGCGGCTGCGTGGTTGTACGCAGTCACCTGTCTGGCTCGGTGTTTTGTGAAGTGCCTTCACGTGTTAATTTCTGTGTAGAGCACTAAACTTCATTCTGGAAAACCTCAGACAAGGGTTAGGATTCATAACTGTGCACTGGGCTTCAAACATGTAACCCGCTGCACTTTTAAAGGGAGTTTACTTGTATGTGCTGGATGAGCAGAGAGGTACGCTAATAATCCCAGCTCATTTCTAAAACTTTTCTGGCTTTAAGTTGGAAGGTTTGTGGAGCAGACGCATTTGCAGCAAGCCATTTCAGGGCTTACGGTTGTAGATGTTGTTGGCTGCTCTGCAACTCGAGATAGTGTATAAGCCTCCAATCCTGGAAAACCAAGCACAGTCATTTTTAAAGACTGAGCCTCCAGTTTGTGTGGGAACTCCAGCTCTCCAGTGGTATTATTTCTCTTGAGCTGCTCTCCGGGATTTCGTGGCGTCAGGTGATGTTGAGCACCGGTGAGACTCCAGTCGCCCGCTCCTGCTGCCTGCCTGCTGCCGGCTCTGCCGCTCGCTGGCACCCGCGTGAGGAGCATCAGCTCCTCGCCAAGGCCAGCGTGGGGAGTTTTCTGCTGGATGAGCGAGATGGATTTTATTGCAAAAGGGCGAGAGAAGTGCAAGTGAAGGAGGAGGAACCTATGGCTGGAGGGTGAACAGGAGACGGACCTAACTTGCCTTTTCCAGGGATGTTGAGTCCTTAATGCTCCTGCATGGCACCTAAAATTTCAGTCCGTAAGCACTTGCTTTTGCTGGAAGTCTGTATTCCTTAGGGTTTCGTCCTTTGGTGCAGCTTGTTTAGTGTAAGTGTTTGCAGTGGGTTGGCAAACTCCCTGTAACACCCTGTGGACAAAGCCTAGCAAAGTGAGCTAGTCAGCATAGCTGCCCTGTGCTTTTGTGTTCAGCAGCATAATTTCAGGATTCAGTAAGGCTGAGCAAGGTCAGCATTGCTGCTAAAATGGGATATTCTTATCAGTGGGCTCCTGCTGGCACTGGCGGTGTTGCTGCTTGGGCTGTGTCAAGGAGCAGATCTGACCAGAAGCCAGCTTGCGATAGAGAAAAGTAGCTTCCAACTAGCAAGCTCCTTGATTTTTTTTTTTTTTTTTTTAAAATTTTTTTCCCCCCTTAACATTTGTAAATCTTCATGGAAGCAGTGCAGGACAATTCCATCCTCGCAGGTCAGGAACAGGCTGCGCTTGGTGCCATGACATTATAGAGACAAGGTGCAGGTGGCTTTGGTTATTTTTGGCCATGTCATGTATTTCCCTCCACAGATACATAGCTGAAGAAGTGAGGATAATTTGGGAGAGCTCAGAAGTTTTTTGGAGCCAGTTTGATTGTACTGAATCTCTTTTTAAGACATGTGCTAGCTGAGGTTAATTAGCTTAATTTAAGAGTGTAAGAGCAGAAGAGAGGTGCTGTTCTTTGCCTTCCTGAGGACAGCCGGGCTGTCTGCGCTGCTGCGAGCAGCATGAGGGTTGCTGTGGTGGGAGGCTTGGTTTCCAGCATTGCAGGTGCTCCTGGCAGCAATGGTGTGTGCATGGGGGCCCAGGCAAAGAGCAGGTCATCTGTGAGGGTGGGGAGCTGCAGGGGCCTGAGCGCTGTCCTGATGAGGAAAGCCATCGTTATCAAGACCTTTTGAGCAGGCAGGTTGCCCGTGTTAATCATGCTGATACCCAGAACTTGAGTACTTGTAAAAATGGTGTCACTGAATAGTTTCTTCAGAAACAAAGCCAATACCAATCTGTAAGCGACGGGACAGCAGGGCAGGGGTTTGGGAGGGGGAAAACACACCGTTTGGGACTCCCACCACTCTGTACGTCAGGCATAGGAGGGGTTGGTTTTCATTCCGTGCCAGCAAATACCGTTGTACAACTTCCAGCATTTTCTCGGGCTCCCCATGGGGCCCTGATGCCCTTTGCTGAGCATGATAAAGCACCAGCTCGCAGGGTCCTTGGTGCTGAGCGGAGGAAGCCCTGGGTGTTGTGAGGAGCCTGGACCCGCTGCTGCCTGGCAGGGTCTGCATCATGGTACGGGTGTGAGGACCCCTCTGGTTCTCTGGGGTGAAGCCACCTTCTCTTTCTGCAGTGAAATAGCTTCTGCCAGAGTGCTGTCATTTTGCTTACATTCTACTTACTTTCTTTCTCTTGTAGGATCGTGTTTCTTCTCAACCTTCAATTCAGTTTCAAGGATCCCAAGGGGTGAGTATTTTGTACCCTCATTATATTGGAAAATAAATGCAGTGTAGATTAACCACTTTCACTTACTAAAAAAAAAATAAATTCCTAACATTCTTAAGATCTGCTTAACACCAGGTATGTTCCATTTTATATTTACTTAAGAGTTGTATCTGAAAATAGAAGAGAATCATACTTTAGGTATTCTTTTTTATCTTGCTTTTCTCACCTTTTAGCCTAAATTTGAAAGCACTGGGAATAACTTAGAAGTCATCAACTGAGCGGCACAAATTTAATATTTTAAAATGGACTTTAAGCGGTTGGTTTCAAGGTGTGAAGCAGAACTGCAGTTTTGAAGGGTGGGGTTTAGTATACCACAGACTACTGATGGTTCTTGACCCTTTTCTAAAACTACTAAACCAGTATTTCAAGCCTCTTGAAGAAAAATACGAGGAAATGTGGGCTCCTAAAGGCCATGGGTCCTGTTAAACAATCAGCTGGTGGTGCAAATTGGAGAACTAAAGTGGAGGTAAAATTAAATACAGGCTATTATATCTAAGTAGAGTGATTGAAGATTTGGGGTTTAATATTTAAACTTTAAGGAATGTCTAAAGACTAATTTTTAAAGACTGAAGTGTGGATTGTGCCTTTTTATGCTGTCAGCCTTAATTCAGATCCATTAACTGATCCAGTTTTCCATGTAGCTGTGCGGTGCTTGAGCCGAGATAGTTGGGAAGGGATGAGGGAAGGATGGGTAAGGTCCTCACGCTGGTGCGAGGAGGTGCTCCTGCCCAGGGCTGTGACACTACAGTCCTGGTCCCGCCTCGGTTTGGTGGAAGGGTCCTCGGATGCTGGGAGAATGCTATCTATAAAAAGGCTGCTTGTGCAGACAAAAGTCTCTTAACGCTGCGCTTGTAAGAAAATCCTTTCTCGTTATAGCTTATTCGCATTTAAACTATACTGGCAAAAGAGTTTCCTTGCTAGAATGAATAACCATCTTAGTTAAGAGAGTCAGCCAAAATAGCTATCCCAGGAGAGCATGGCTGGGAGCACGGATCGATTTGAATTCGTGCTGCCATCAAGAGGGAAGTCGTACTTGCTGATTTGGCTGGGAAGGAATGCAGTAAAACGGACGGGCCGGCCCCACCGGTTGGCTTCCTGATCCTCCAGCTGTGGCGGCCAGCGTGCGAGCGCTGTGAGGGCTGGAGCAGAAGCTGCGTTCAAAGTAAGCTCTTGGAGCATAAATAATTAACCTGGCTGGTAGCGTGAGGTTCTTCAAGTAGTACACTGTGAACAACAAATGACCAGCATGCTTTATCCACCCTGCACCCTCTCTTTCTCTGCAAAAGTTCACGTCCTGCGTTCTTCCATGTTCTCGAGTAGCAGCATTAAAGTGTGTGAGGTTTGAGATGTTGCTAGGTTGGGGCAAAACTTTGTTTCTCAGCAAAATCTGGGGGTCATGAGACTGCCGAAGAGCCAAATGTTAGCTCACAATGGTGTCACCCTTGTTTCTGTTAAAAAGTTAATCCAGGTATGTGCTTTTTCATTATTAAACTCAACAGTAAGGTCTGCTCCCACGCTCTGTGAGATGGAAGCATCTGCAGGCGCTTTGCTGCTTGCTGCAGGAGCAATAACCTCTTATGGTACTTTTCAAATCTGTCCCTAATTAAGGAAATGCAAACTAAGGAGTTTATTGCAGGAGATCCCTAGGTCTTAAGTCCCTGCAACAGGGAGAGAAATTTAAGGTCATTAAGGCAGATGGCAAGTTAAAACAGGACATTTACTTGTGTACGTACAGTGGGAGGGAAGTGGTTCTTTGTTACTTCTGTATGTTGTGCAGCCATATTCTGAGCTGCTGGTCTCCAGCTGGAGGTCTCCGGAGCGCCGAGCGCTCAAGGTGCGTTCGTCAGTGCCAAGGCGACCTTGGCGTCTGTCGGTTGCAGGTTACCTGTGACGCCGAGGCGTGTCCTTCACTGCTGCTGAAAACAAATACGGATTTGATTTGTCTCTTGAGAACAGCCCCTCTGCAATTCAGGCAGCTATCTAACACACAGCTGAGGATAAGATACCATCATCACTTAAAAAAAAGCTTTTCTTTTTTTTTTTTTTCCCATTTTTAAATATTCCATCTCGTTACACATTCTAGTTTCAGTCCTCTGTGAGTGATGGGAAGAGCTGGAGTGGAGAAATAAGTTTTCTGGCTTGGGGTGGTCTAGAGATGTGTTAGATGTAGGAACTGAGAAAAGGAGCCTTAAGCTAGAAGAGGCAAGGGAGGAGATTTAATTTCATGTATATGTTTAACAAGAAGCTAAGATTGGTGTCAAAGGGGTCCTCCAGTGGCTTTCCCCCCAAAAAAAAAGAAAAGGCGAGCTTAATTTTTTTCTGTTGCACAGCAGAGTTGCTCTGAAGGGATGTGAGAAGTGTTCAAAGTATATAGATGGTCTCAGAGGTGCAACAGCCAATCCAGTGGTGCATTTGATACGGTAATAAATCATCTGTGCATGCTGCATAGTCAGCCTCTGGATGCTCTTCGGTACGAGAACCAGTGAAACGGCGCTGGAGCAGTTTGTACAGAACGCAGCTAAGAGCTCTGTGATTTGTGAATTGATGAAGTGTCTGGGATTGTTAAAGCGAACTTTTGCACCAAAGCATAAGTCGGTCCCTGGGAGGGGGAGCTTTTCCTCCTGGAACATCTTACTCCCAAACGGTCTGGACGATAAGGTCTGCTGGTGTCTGAGAGAGCCTGGATGCCGAGGGACTGCAAGAAATGGATCGTTGTGGTGATACAGATTAATATTTAGGAAGACCTTGTAATTAAATGCTTTGGAGTACACCTAGGCAGCCTGGAGAATGTGGCAGCTGTGCTGTGCTAGAAACAGTAGCCCTGAGGAATGTGAATGCTGGCAACTGACTTGTAACTCGGCAGGGATGCATTTAAAGAAAGAAAAAGGAAAAGTCTGTTTGTAGCCCAGCGTACTTCCCCTAGCGATAGTAAGTTTCAACCAAGTGTGCTTTCCTTGCCGCGGCTTCCCTCCTGCATTTTTAACTTCCTCTGCTGTGTCCTGCAACTTGCAAACACATTTCTTATACAAAGATCTGCAAAGCTTTCCATCCTACCCGCAGCTGGCGGCGTTCTCCATCCCCTGCTGCGACGGCGTGCCTCCGGTTGCTGCGGGGACAGCCACTGCGATCTCGCCCGCCCCCCGTGAGCAGGCACAACCGCCGCCTGTTTCGGGGAATGGAGCAGTGCGCGGAATCCCCCTGAAGTAACAACTCCAGGGGCAGTTGTTCCTGGCCTCGCTCTCTGGGCCTGCACAAACCCCTGGTCCTTGCGCCAGAGGAAGGTGCAGCAGCGAGGGTGTTGCAGGCAGCGGTTGCAGGTCCCGAGCGGGGAGCTCTTCCACAGCACGTTGGTGACAGGTTCCTGCTGGGTGGCAAAGGAAATGTCACGGTGCCCACCGCTCGAGTTCAAATGGGTGAACTGGTGCATAAAAGTGAGCTGCATGGATTTTGGGGAGCAAATGTGAAGGTCTTAGAAAAAAGGCCCGAGACAAAAAGGGAAGGAGAGGGGGAGAAGACTGAAACTGGAAGAAAGTCTTCTCCCTTAAGGTTATCCATTTGTCTACAGGTCAGCGTAATCAGTAAAATGTATACATTTGAAATGACTGTTATGTAGTAAAATATTTACATTTTTTTTCCAAGGGAGCCATGTGTAGTCATTATTTCTGTAGAAAGGCATCTTAATTTCCTTTCTGAAAGGGACATTGGCCACTTACATGCTGTAGTGTAGCTATAATGAAGGAGGAGGAGGTTTAGTACTTGAAGGAAACAGCATTTTGCAAAAAGATTGCCAGTATTAAACTGAGAACAAAAGAAAAGAGTGCTGAGATCTTCCCCATGTTTAAGAGCAGTTTTTCAAAGTTTTGAGTTGGTCCAGTGGGTTTCTGGAGCACTTTTGTCTCTTTGAAGGTGCAGGCTGGACATCTGCATTAATGCAGACAAAGGAGCAAAGTTTTAAGCTTGGGAGCAAGCTTACCTGGGCAGAAGCTGCTGTAGCAAAGATCCAAATGACGCTATGCAAAAATTGTCCTCTTGGGATTTGTAAAAGTGGAATTTACGTGAAACACGGCAGAACATCCCCGCTGAGCAGAGCGGGGCCCTTCCCCAGGGGTTTGCCACTTGGCAAATAAAGCGTTGCTCTAATGAACTGTGAGTAAACTTCAGCTTAGAAAATGGATTAATTGGAAACGTCTCTCAAAAAAAATAGTAGAAGCCTAACTTTGAGGGCCCTGCAACTGTTAACTTTTAAATCCTTTAATCACGTTGTAGAGGCTCATGGCGTGAGCTGGGCACTGGTGTGGGGGCCCGCACAGGGCAGGGAGCAGATTCCAGCTCGGGCTTGTGAGCTGCCAGATCTTATCCTTAAAAGTCAGGCTTTGCGGGAAGACCACTGAGGAGGTGGTAAGGTTGGAACGATTCTGGGAAGAGACAAAGGAGACAGAGGACTTGGATGCGTCTGCTGAGTGGAGGCCTCTGCAAATGCAGTGCTGATGTCAGGCTGGTGGTGTGACGCTGTGCTGTGGAAGAGCAAGAGGGGAGAGTGGGTAGATGTGTTCAGAAAGGGAAGGGAGCAAGTGACTCTGGCTGGGAGAGCACCGTGCATCTGGCCTGAACTGAGGGTGCTGTAACAGCACACAGTATCAGCGGGAATGTTGGAAAAGAGGAGGACAGAAGTGACAAAAAGCTACGAGCTGGAGAAATTGGAGTGAGTCCACGCAGGAACTTCAGGAGAAAGCGATGAAAACTGCTCTTGTGTTAGAGAGGCAATGGGGACGATATGTCATCGCGGGAGAGGGTAATGATAGATCTGGAAATCAGTTCCCGAGAGGAATGGATTAAAGTCAAGGGTCTGGGTTGTTCTAGTGGATATTCTCTATTACTAAATCCATTAGATTGGATTAAAGTCAAGGGTCTGGGTTGTTCTAGTGGTTCTAGTGTTCTCTATTACTAAATCCATTAGATGG